TATTTCGTTTAAGGTGATGAAGGACTGGCAGTTGCTTTTTCCCACAATCATATGAGTAGAACTGACGCTTCCATTGAATTTCGCATAGCCTTACTTTCCTTAAAGATGTTCTCATCCAAGGTGATCTTATCGACCCCCGAGTGGGAGTTGAACCATGACAGTGCAGCGTGCAAGGTCGACAGGTTAACCATTACGCTGCACTATTATTGTTCGACTCCCGCTTGGGGTCGATAAGATCACCTTGGATGAGAACATCTTTAAAGAAAGTAAGGCCATGTGAAATTCAATGGAAGCGTCAGTTCTACTCATATGATTGTGGGAAAAATCAACTCTTAGTCCTTCATTACTTTAAACAAAATAGGGTGAATACAAATTCAATATCTGATTAACTGACAGTCTCGAAAATCTACTCATTTACTGTCAGGTTAAGTCTGGATTGAATTTGTGCAGCACAAAGAGGAAAAATGGAATGAAAATTAAAATAACAACTTTGTCGCTGAAGTACTCAGTGCTGCCGGATGGGCAAATGCGTGTGAGGGAGAGAGTAAATATCTAAAACTATGTATAGAAGCGAGAATGTCAATATTTAAGAAGCAAACTATATAGAGATTCAAAATTATTGATGTTCCGATCACTTCAGGCAGAAGATGTAATTTATATCAAAATAACTTTGCAAAAATGGACAAGTTTCTTCAAAAAATTAACTAAACAACTATTATGAATGAATGAGAGCCTCTACTGCAGGCTGTAGTTTGATAATTAAAATGGATTTATGACATTTCATTGAAGTGTGAGATATCATGAAAACTTTATTCCAGTCATGATTAGGCCACTACATTGTAGAAAAGGTAATTTCCGGGGGCTTTTGGTCTCTGCTCCCATAATTGAATAAAACTTTACAATACCGAGTTTATGAGAGGAAAATTCCACCCTTAGTTGAAGTTAATGATTCAGGTTTGTAAACAACATCTTTCTAAACCTAACCAAATTAAAACAACTAACAAAATGACTAGTCATTATTATTCGATGGTATCAGAAGCCTGGATATTCAACTAGGTTTGTAACTAAATGCTGATTAGGCTCTTTGACTTGAAAGTGATAAAGACCTATGGATTTGCTTAATTGTGTGCTATTTCAAGGGAGCAAACCCCTTCTGTAAGAGTCACAAGCTAAGGTTTGTTTCTCAAAAAGAAGCCGTCTCTGCCTCTGCCAAATTCCTTGTAAAATTGAGGAGTAAAACTCTGAAAAATGTGGTCAGCTCAAGACCCCTAATTACGAGTAAAGATGTCAGTCGAGGATAACATATCATACACACATAGATATGAATAAAAGAAAATGGTTTTGGATAAAGAGGAGGAGTACATAAAGTTAAGGCATGTCTAGGAAAAAAATGTTTGAGAAGAGGAAAAATAAAATTATTGAATAGAGTTGGAATGAAATAAATTGGGCACTCAGACAAGCAAGTGCTTGTAGCACGACTTTCCGTTTAGAGGGAAAAGTAAGTTGGAAGAACTTCGTGGAGTGATCTTACCGCAAACGGAAGGAAGATTGCCGCGGGATCAAGACTGCCTGATTGTGCGATGAAGTCTTGGGCTCCACGTCCCGTGACCATGATGAATCTGTGCTAAGCTTTCGTTTGTACTAGCGTGACAGAATTAATCAGGGCAAAAATCAAAAAATAGCTCAAAAATAAATTACATAAAGTATATTTAGTATATTTTTGCGCTATTTCTTGCCATGATAATGTCTGTCACAGTGGTCAGACAAAAGTCTAGCACAGGTTCATTGGGGTGGCAGGATGGTAAACCGAGGAGTTTTTCTTACAATCAAACAGCCTTTACGCGGCAACAATCCTTCTTCGGTCTCCGGCGAGACAAATTTCTTCTAGCCAACTGTACCTACGAAATGGAAAGTCATGTGACACGATATCAGTGAATAATTCTTTGAAACCCAGTTTATCTTCATATCCTCGGAGAAAATGCTTATGTTAAGTAAAATAAGGTTGCTTGATTAAGAGTTTAGGCACCATATTTCGCTCAAGATGACTTAGCGACTGATTGCGGAGTTTTTCCTACAATGAAATCCATAGGCTTCACTTAGTCATGTCTTCGCTAAGATATTCTTATGTAGAGAGGGTAGCATTTCTACATAAGTTTTTATTCAATAATAAATGATAGACAGACTTAAATAATTGTAATAGCATATAAATGCTTGCCTGGTCAACATTCTCACTATAAATGCCATTGTAGAGAGATCTGACTTCTTTTTGAAATTTTCCTATTTAAGTAGAGTTTCGAGACTACCAGTAAATCAGTAATATGAGAGG